CCACAAAGAGTATTCTACCAATGACCACAGATGGAGCTATAGCCACAATCATTCAGTCCTTAAGTTAGAGGAGCTCTGACCAAGTCCACCTGTCTAATCTGCTTGTGGGTTCATCAAGAAACAGAAGTTTGGGCTTCGTGAGTATTTCCAAAGCTATGCTCAGCCTCCTCTTTTCACCCCCACTTATTCCTTTTTAAAACCAACTCCCAACCATAGTATCTGCACAATCTTGAAGACCCATTTCAGTGATGGAGCTCTCAACAAGAGCTTCCTTTTCCTGCAATCGTATACTGTTGGGAAGACGAAGACAAGCTGTGAATAGTATGGTTTCTCTGATTGTTAAGGTACCCATCAATTGATCTTCTTGTTTCACATAAGCCTGTAATTCTGATCATTAGTCACAACCTGTCTGAATCTTTTGGGGGTTCAATTTCTTGGTGTGAAGAGTCTCAGGTTCCTCTGAAGAGTTAGATACATGGACGGTTAAAAAAATGGACTTAAAAAAATGGACTCAAATATTAGAAATAGTACATCTTGTAATGCATTATCTAGTCAATTTTCAAGATTTTCAAGTGTTCATCGATCTACCAGCCTCTTTGATCAATCAGACTATTGATTGAAGCTTTAGTTAGTCTGGTCTAAAGCAAAAAATGTTAGGTTTGATGATGGATAGATCAACACACTTATATTTCCTCAAAAAAAGGATGGCACTATGGTTTTTGGGAAAAAAAAAGGGAAAATGGTTTCTTTTTGGAGAACAAGCAAGAAACCCTGGTAGCTGACATAATACTCATCCACTGGGTTACCCTTTGAGGGCATGGGAAAGAATCTGATCTCCAGGAAGGAGACAGGTCCCCAAGAGAGAGACATGGCTTCTTAGAAAAATGGAAGTCTTTTTTTTTGTTTTTCAACAATTAGAAAGTGGAAGTCTCTTGATCACTCTAGAGGTTCTCTTTCCAAAGATAGTGTAGCATGAAAACGGAAGTTGATTGGTGGTGTTTCAGCCAGGTAAGCTGGGGTAAGATAGTGAGGAGTTTTGCGAATGTTTGGAGAGAGGTATATATCTCTTGTAAAAAAAAACTGTAATCTTCATCGTGATAGTGAATTTTGTCTTGTTGAAACTATGGACGTGGTATACTTGATGTGAACCATATAAACATTTGTGTTATTGTGGTTTTTTTTTTACTCCCATACTTGATTTATGATTATAATCCTTTATTTCATATTTAACTAATTATTTGCATATCTTGGGTAGGATGGTTCTTAGTTCCCAAGTGGGGGGTCTTTTAAAAAAAAACCAATGTTTAGGAAAAGTAGTTATAATCAATTTATAACTAGTTTGACAAGTCAGATTAGCCAATACAAAGTTAGCCAACTTTATTTTTTTTAACATATTTTATATTTTTAAACTATTGTTATTTTCTTTTTTGTTTCCCTTAAATTTAATACAACAATTTTATTGATGATCGGATGGATTTTAATTTGACCAAATCCCTAGCAATTTGGTAGCTTTTAGATGACTCTTTTTAACATGTAGGAAATTTGGTAAATATCATCATTCATCTCTTGCCAAAAGGGTTGATAGTTTCCATTTATAGTTTACATGCAAGTACTCGGTTTTATTAATGCGACGCCGTCTTTGCAAAAGGGTGGTATAGCTGTTAACAAGTAACTCTTAAAATAAAAAAGAGAGAGGTCTAGCTTCTATCCAATAGAAAAAGATAAGGCCTAAACAACAATGGAAAATGGGCTTTAGCTGGGTTTTGGTGCGCCCTCATGGCTGAATATGAGCTTTCGGGCATGCATTATGATTTTTGATGTGTAAGGCACAATAGGTTTTTGGGGGTGGCAATGGGCCGTGCAACCCGGCCTAGTGGGCCTGGCCAATAAAAACTAGGAGTTGTGCCATAGGCCTGGGCCAAATCCGGCCTTGTTCTGCCTGCCTGGCCAAGCCCAGCCTCGTTCGGCCTGGCCTTGATAGCACTAGGACCATGCTAATGTCGGGGCCTCTTTGAGGGCCGACCTTATGGGGACTAGGGCCACGGCTGGCCTCTCCCGGGCCCAGCCCCAGACATGCCAAATGTGAGTTGTGCAACGATGAGGTTCTTTTTACTAGGAGGAGGTACGTATCTTTTCCATTATCGTTGTTAAAATTTACAGGAGGAAAATTTCTATTTTTTAATAAAACTTCATAACTTAAAGATTAAGGGCTACGTTTCTAATAAAATTAATATTAATAATCTTTAAAATGTGACATAATCTACATGGAAGACATTTTAATTTTGATAAAAATAGAGTGTATATTAAAAGAAGGACTTTCCTTTTTGTATTAGATTTCCTATAATGTATTTATTTTAGAAATATATGGCGATTGAATTAGACTTAGGGGTAAGTACCTTAGAAGTCCCTACTCTAATTGAATGTTAGGTGTCATGCGTTTGACCATGGCTTAATTTCAAGTGAAGTTTGTTTAAGGTACCCTCCTTGCTCTAAGGGCTAATTTGGCTCATTGGATTTAGATTTTTAGGAGTCATTTTTCTGGGGCAATTACGTTTGGTTCGTTTAGAATTGACATTTTCATTGGAATTGAGATTTATATGGGATTCCTGAATGCTTATTTTAAGCTTAAATTTTGAATATCTCAATTTTACCAAACTAATTGGAATTGACATTTCATGAAAATGGCCCATTTGCTGCTGAAGATAAAAAATAAAATAAAATCAACGTAACATTATATCAAATTTTAGAGAGAGAAAACATATTAAAATTTTAGAGAGGAAAACCATATCAAATTTTAGAGAGAAAAAATATACAAATTTTTTAGATTAGAGAAAATGTATGAATTTTTTTAAGAAAGAAATTATCTAAAATTGTTAGAGTGAGAAACTATCTCAAATTTAAAGTTGTAGAGAGACCATATTAACATTTTAGATGGAGAAACTATATCAAATCTTAAGTTTTAGAGAGAGAAAGTATCCAAAATTTTTAGAGAGAGAAACTATATGAAATTTTAGAGAGAAGAACTATTTAAAACATTTTAGAGAGAAATATCTCAAAACATATAGAGAGAGAGAAATTATCTCAAATTTTAAGTTTTAATAAGGACATATTAAAGTTTTAGAGATTAGAAATTATATAGATAGGAAAACTACCTGAAAATTTTTAAAGAGAGAAACTATCTCAAATCTTAAGTTTTAGAGAGATAAAATATCTTAAAACTTTAGAGAGAGAAACTATATTAAATTTTAGATGGAGAAAGTACTTGAAATTTTTAGAGATAGAAACTATTTAAAAAAAAATAGATAGAGAAACTACCTTAAATTTTAAGTTTAAGAGAGAAAAAGTATATTAAAATTCTAGAGAGAGAAACTACATGAAAATTTTAGAGAAAGAAACTATCTCAAATTTTAAGTTTTAGAGAGAAAATATCTTAAAACTTTAGAGAGAGAAACTATATCAAATTTTAGATAGAGAAAGTACCTAACATTTTTAAAGAGAAAAACTATTTACAAAAATTTAGATAGAGAAACTATACCAAATTTTAAGTTTTAGAGAGAGAAAGTATATTAAAATTTTAGACGGAGTAACTACATGAAAATTTTAGAGAGAGAAATTATCTTAAAAATTAAGTTTTAGAAAGAGAAAACGTCTTAAATTTTAGAGAGAGTAACTATATCAAATTTTATAGTGAGAAACTAACTAAAAATTATTAGAGAGAGAAACTATTTTAAATTTTTTAGAAAGAAACTATCTCAAGTTTTGAGTTTTAGATACAGAAAGTACCTTAAAATTTTAGAGAGAAAAACTATATCATATTTAGAGAGAGAAACTACTTATAATTGTTTAGAGAGAGAAACTATCTCAAAATTTTTATGGAAAAAAACTATCTCCAATTTTTAATTTTAGAGAGAGGAAGTATCTCAAAATTTTAGAGAGAGAAACTACATCAAATTTTAGTGATGGAGTATATAAAATTTTTATAGAGAGAATCTATCTCAATTTTTTTTTAGAGAGAGGCTATTTCAAATTTTAAGTTCTTGAAAGAAATTGTATTAAAGTATTAGAGAGAGAAACTATTTCAAAATTTTCAGAGAGAGAGAAAAGATTTATATTTTCAAAAAAAATATATTCCAAGCAATCTAAACAGGGAATTTATATTTTCTCGATTTCTACTGCGATCCAAAAAGCATTCACCATATTTTAGGAAATGTCAATTCCAATAAATTTCAATTCCAAAATTAATTTTTCCTAGGATTGAAAAATATAGGAATGCAAACGGCCCTTAAAGTGATTCGAAAAGCATACACCGTATTCTAAGAAATGTCAGTTCCAGTAAATTTCAATTCCAAGATTGACTTTTCCAGGGATTGAAAAATATAGGATTGCAAAGGGTCCTTAAAGTAAGACAAATCTCTAAGTTTTGTCGGGGGATTCAATTCTGATATCGAAAATATGCATTGGTTTGTATAAAAAATTGTATCAAGAAACAATTTTTATATGGAACATACTGCTAGTTATACACGTTTGATTCGTATGTAAAGTGAATGAAAACTTGACCCGTAGGAAAAGATTTTTACCACCCCAAGGAGCAAATCGAAATCCCCACCTCACAAGGAGGAAGTACGTTCCGGGATGCATCGCTCACACGGACCAGGAGCAATATTTCATTTGAGTTTACCGCAAGGGGGACAATTTTTGTGAGTCCACGTAGAAATGAGTCGAGTCTTAAAAATCTATTTTCGAGTTGGATTTTGTTGACCCATTTTCAAGGACATATAATCTCGGAGATCATGAATATAAAAAAGTAAATAAACTTTAATAAACAAAAATAATGATTTTATGAACAAAATATTTAGACCGTTAATTTCAATTGTTTTTAAATGGGCCATCTAATTGCAACTAAAATGGATGTTTTATACCTTGGGACCGTATATTGTGGAAATGCGGTCCAGCCCATGAAACAATTTTCGAAAGAAAGAAAAGGAAAGAACAAACAAACAAATGAGAAGGGCCCCTCTCACAAAACTCTCGCCCGTCTCTCAACCCTCTGCGTCCTCTCTCCTCCACAGACCCACAAGCAAGATCCATTTGCAAGCCTCATAAAAGATACATCATCTTCTTCAAGCGAGGATCTATTTAAGATACATCATCATCTTCTTCAAGCGAGGATATATTTTGCAAGCTTTCATCTTCTTCAACAAGGTAAGATTGTTCTTCTTATTTTTTTTTATTTTGTTTTTGGCGGGTGTTTTTTATTGCTAGTTTTTCTTCGAAGTGTAAATATTCTTCACCAAACAAGGTACGGTTTCCCTCGTATGAACCCCCATACAAAATATCTCATCTTTTTCAACAAGGTTATGGCTTTTATTCTTGTGATTTTCCTGGTTTTTCCCTCTAGATGATGCTGATTTTTTTTTATTACCAATGCAAACATTTCTTTTTTATGATTTCCCCATGGAAATTTGTTGCTTTATTTATTTTTGGATTATTTTATTCAGTATAGAAGCACAATTTTCTTTGTAGAAAAATTTGGGTATGTTTTGTTTTTTCTTTTTTTTGTTTTGCATTTTTTCTGTTTTTTATTTTATTTCTACCTGGTTTTTTTTTGTTGTATAGAAGCCATTTTGTGATTTTTACAGTGGGGCTTGTTCATAGTCATGAAATTGCACAATTAGTTTGCTGATTTTTTTTTTCAATTTTATCCTAAAACTGGAAAGATTGTACTTGAATGCTTCCTAAGTAAATTTCCCATGAATTTTGAAGCTATGTTTTGAATGCTTGAAGATTAGAATATGCATTATTTTCCATTTCTGTTCTTCTGATATTCTTTCTGATTATGATCTCATAATATGCCAGTTTGACAGTTACATTGTTGTGTTGCTTTGTTGGATATTGTTGCCCTGTTCTCATTTCTTTATTTGTTAATGTTTATTTGAAGGGCATAAACTTAGTTATGCAATGATGGTTTTTAATTTTTATAAATCTATCTAAATTCTTGAAATAATTTTTTTTTACACCAAATTGAAACATTGTAAAAGAGTAAAAATGTTTGTGTACTTTTTATTCTTTTCACAATCATTTTTTATTCTTTTTCTGGTCTTTCCTATGTAAGATAATTACAGAGAAATTCTAAGCGCACTAGAAAAGGAGGGTCTACCTTATTTGTTTACTTTTATGCTGATTTTTATGTTATTAGATGTTCATAAGCCATGTGTTTAAAGGGATGGACTTCGATATCATATCAACTATACTGCAATTGAAAGGTTAAAAAAAGGTATTAATCCAAATTCTGGGAGATAGTTTATCAATAGGTTTACCAAACATAAGAAACTCGATACATAAGAATTCCGGACATGTGAACCAAACATAGGAAAAACAAGATTGGATAACTCTTGCACAAGGAATTGTTTACATATTAAAACTGGTTTACATCATGCAACCTATGCAACCTGATACCCATGAACCAAACGAGCCCTTAAAATCCCAGAAATATTACAGATTGAGTAGATCTATAAACATTTTAAAATATGAGGAGAGGCCGTCTAGATAATTTGTTGCAAAATGTACCATTTTGAGGACTTGAAAATCCTTTTTCTTCATATCCGTACATCTTCAAGTTGAGATGATCAAATTAAATGATTTTTCAACATCAGAACACTCTCTTCTAGTGGATTTTTGAGGTGCACTTTGCATCAATATTATGAGGATATAGGATGAATAAAAAAGAAATGAAAGAGGACCATCCACCTATGGTCTATGATAACATCACATCATTGTAGTACCCATTTGTCCATTCTAGACAATAGATGGCCACAGTTAACTGCAGTTTTCAAATCCTAGCATCTATCATCATGGTGCGTTTTGTTGGAATCATGTACCGACTGTGCAATACGTGTTTCCCTACTGCTACTAGCCTTGCCCAAAATTGCTGAAATACAATCCTCAAACAATTCATCATATGGTGGTTCCTACATCTAGATATGGAAGGCTATTGTGGGTAATATAGAGCAATTTTAATGCAATCTACATATCTTTTCTTTTACTAATTGTTTGCTATTCTTAACACCAATCTGCTGGTATTAACAATTGGGTGCAGTTTTCATAAGGTGTCAACCTTTTAAGAAGTTGAAAACCAAGCCCCCCTCGCTTGACTCAAAGTTGCAGAGAGAGGGAGAGAGAAAGCCTCGGATGCAATGTATCCCCGCCTATTTTTTCCGGCAAATCGCTCAAAAATCCCCAAACTTCTCTCCAATTTCGTCCAAAATTCCATCTCTAATCCCCCTTTGCAACACTCTAACTCTAATTCCCCTTGTAATAGTGGAAGCTTTTCCAGTCATGGTTCCTTCTCCACAACCTCTTTAACCCCGCCAAATTCGGCAAACTCTCCTGCCCTAGAAGCCCTGAGGGAAAAACTTTCTAGAGAATTGCCCACCCTTTCTGATTTCATAGAAATGCAGAGAAGCGGTGGAGCTTATTCAGTGGAAGTGGGAACTAAGAAGAAGCCACTACCCAAGCCTAAGTGGATGAAGGAATCGGTGCCTGGAGGAGAGAAGTATACGAAGATAAAGGGTAAGCTGAGGGAATTGAAGCTTCACACTGTGTGTGAGGAGGCGAGGTGCCCTAATTTGGCAGAGTGTTGGTCTGGTGGTGAAACTGGCACTGCTACGGCTACTATTATGATCTTGGGTGATACTTGCACCAGGGGTTGCAGGTAAAGCCCCCTCTCTCTTCCATAATTACAATTATAATCGAACTTTATTGTAAGGCTCTCTTTATGCTTAGTTACAAATGTAATCATGATTTTGCATAATTCTCTATCTCTCTCTGTTCACAATTAGTCGTGGCGATATCTACAGGGACGTAGTATGTAACCAGGCTGAGAAATTGGATATCTAATTGAGATTACGCAGCCTGAACATTTGGCTTGATCTTCAGTACTTCTTTTTTTGTTTTTATTTTGGGTGTATTGTATGCCTGATTATAAATTGAAGATTGCTAACAATATTACAAGGAAAAAAGTTTATATGAGGTTGACACCTTATATTGTAGAATTAAAGTGCACCTCAATAGTCCTTTGGAAAAGGTGACATTGGAAAACCATTTAGGTGATCATCTTGACATCGAGCTATATGAATATGAAAAAAAGAAAAAGAAAAATACTAGATCCCAAAAATAGTACATCTTGCAATGCATTATCTGGATCGTCCATTCTCAAGATTTTCATGTGTTTATAGATCTTCTAGATTTGAACCATTTTTGGAGTTCAAAATTTTCTAATTAGATATGAAAATAGATCTCATGCCATCCTAAAAATTTTCGACACCAAAGTTGCATCTTATGACAAAGTTTGGAGGTGCAACCTTATGCAAACCACACCCATATTGCAAAGCAATTACTAAACTAAAAAATGTATTGCAATTATGTCTATAGGACATGAAAACCTAAATGACCGCAAGGCAGGCATGACATTTTTAATAGGGCCTAGGGATGGTAAGATATATTTAAGGTTGAACCCTTCTCTGGCAAATATGTGCAGCTCACAAGGATGAGAAGCTTACCCATTTTAATATTTGCTACTTTATGTAGTTTTATAGAACTAGTTTTATAGAACAATTACAAACCTACTCAGTTACAGTTATGAAAGTAGGACTTCTTCTTTGTTGATTCGATGTAATTGTATACCCAAAATGGTTATATCATATTTTCGTCCTGAATAGCTTCCTTATGTTTGGAACTGACACAAATCTGTACTGTGTTTTGAAATTCATGAACTGGATGGACCATGTAAAACTGGGCTACTTTTTACAAATTTTGAGTCATAAGGGGAATTCATTTTGACAAAACTATTGGTGCACTCTTGAAACACAATCAACAGGTCTTAGATGACAAGGACCTAAGGCATTGATAACAACAGCTAGAGTAGGATAACATAAAATATAGATGGTCAGAGTAGAAGTTCCATGAGTAAAGATCTCTTATAAGTTTATAGCCCATGCATCCCATGGTTTTGTGCTTAGTGCTTAGGTAGGAGAGGAAGATTTAGTACATATATGGAGATGGATGAGTGACAAGACAAGAAATGATAGAATTCAAAATGAATATATTCGGAAGAACTTAGTTGTGGCTCCAATAGGCGATAAGATGAGAGAAAGTAGAATTAGGTAGGCTGGTCATGTGCAGGATAGATCTAGTAGAACACCTGTTAGGAGGTGCGGGTTAGTTCAAGTGGAAGGCTAAAACAAGGCAAGGGTAGGTTCAAAAGGACACAGTTAGAAGTAGTGAAAAAAGATATGGGGAATTATGGCCTCACTGAGGGTATAACCCTTGATAGAGCAGAATGACGGACTAGGATTCGTGTAGCCGACCCCAATAGTTGGGAAAAGGCTTTGATGATGATGATGTTGAAGCCCATAGATAGTGTGTTATGCTCGTGTGTGCTAACTTATTACTGTTTTTGTTTTTCTGCCTTGACATTGAAAGGGTCCTGTAATGGTTTTGTTGAGGTTTTTGCTTGTTGGGTTGGTCTAGTGTTGAGACTAGATTGCGAAGTTCGTGAAACCTTTTGTTGTGCAGCTGACTTCACGGTTGGAACACGATTTGTCTTCCAAATTCATTCATAAACTTCAACTCTTGTCCACCGAGAAAATAATATGATAAAGTTAAAATCCTTGTTAAGGTAAGAAGTCAAAAGTATAACATAATTCTCAGTCACTACCCTGCCCTATATGCAATACAGTAGCGTTTCACCGGTTTATTTCATATCCCCAATAATGATTGGCAGGGAATCGTAACGGCAGTACCTGGTTGGGTTAGGCATACAGTATACTAATGCAGTATATCTCTTATCAGTTATTGTGAGGGCTTTTTCTTTCCTGCTCTTGCATCTAATATGTACTAAGGGGATTTCTATGATATAAATATGGCCTAGAAAGTTTTGTGGAAGACTTCTCTTTGTAAAGTGATTTTGAATATGTTTCATAAACTTCGACTTTTGTCCACTGAGAAATAATATGATGAAGTTAAAATCCTTACAAAGGTAAGAAGTCAAAAGTATAACATAATTCTCAGTGTCTGCCGTACCCTACAGGACAACTATATGTAGTACAGTAGCATTTTGTAGTACAGTAGCATTTCACCGGTTTATTTCATATCCCCAATAATGATTGGCAGTGAATTTGTAACAGCAGTTAGTGGTTGGGTTAGGCATACAGTATACTAAAGCAGTATATCTTTAATCGGTTATTTTGAGGGCTTTTTCTCTCCTGCTCTTGCATCTAATATGTGCTAAAGGGATTTCTATGATACTTACCCAAAAAAAAAGGGATTTCTATGATATAAATATGGCCGAGAAAAGTTTGTGGAAGACTTCTCCTTATAAAGTGATTTTGAATATGTCATGATTAATCATGTGAAGCAAATAAGGACTTCTATAAATTATGCTATTGTCAGATCCTTCTATTATTTGTAGCGATGCCATTGTAGTACCAGTATTATCGGTCTTCTAGTATTGTTTTGATTGAACAAATTATGTGCCCATTTCTTATGTTCAATATGTGTTTTCGAAGTTTGAAAATTTGTAGTCTGATGTATCAGATTTTGTAATGTGAAGACATCACGAACGCCACCTCCACCTGATCCAAATGAGCCGTCTAATGTGGCTGAGGCTATTGCTTCATGGGGATTGGATTATGTTGTGATTACTAGTGTGGATAGAGATGATTTGTCTGATCAAGGAAGTGGCCATTTTGCAGAGACAGTGCAGAAATTGAAAATCTTGAGGCCAAGTATACTTATTGAAGCACTTGGTAGGGCTTACTTCATGCAAAGCCAATCTTACATGTATACACTTTTGATTTTAAAGGATATGTTCTTATTTAATTTCACATTGAATGGATCCATATCTCTTCCTTATACTCCTCTAAGGCTCTAACTATTCAAGGGATTTTTCATTTTCCATGGAATCTGTGTATGTTCTGGAAGGGATCCATGAGCCTTTCAAATGGAACACAACAAAATTGCTGATTTTTTAGCTTAGTGTGGATTTTTTTTATGGAGTATTTGGTCTTCTCTCCCCTTGTGTTTTAAAATGTGTACTTTCTTTGTGCAAGGCTTCTTTCATAATATCTCTCTCTCTCTCTCTCTTTCCTGTAGTAAAGTGAATCATCCAAAAATCTCCACTAAATGGAAATAAGATCCAACCCCAAAATTTTCAACTCTTCCCATGAACAGGACTTATCTGTTTATAGGTGTAGGTAGGGGCTTTCCGATTCCCTAATCCATTTGGGACTTCACATCTCTCTAAACAATTAAAGTTACTCCATCAGAGGAACCTAATGGAAAAGTATCTTCCCTCATAATCAAGTTTAATTGCAAACATGTGTGTGTGTGTGTGTGTGTGTGTAGATTGTTTGAATAACCGTTATACTTGAGTGACCTTATGCTAATGAGCTTTTTCTTTGTTCTTGTAACATGCATGGTGCAAATTTTGAATTGTTAACTGAGGTCAATTTCATCAAAGAGAATAGATTAATGTGTTTGTATACTATGGGCATCATAGCATGGTTTACTAGTTCATTGGGAAATTGCTGGGCAGTTTTGAGGCTATTAATCATTCGTTCAGTTCAAAATTTGATATGTTTATGCAGTTCCAGACTTTCGTGGTGACTCTACCTGTGTAGAGAAAGTAGCAAAATCAGGATTAGATGTCTTTGCCCATAACATAGAAACAGTTGAAGAGCTTCAGAGTGTGGTTCGGGACCATCGTGCTAATTTCAAGCAGTCTATTGAAGTTCTAAAGATGGCAAAAGACTATGCTCCTGCTGGAACTCTTACGAAGACTTCGATAATGTTGGGTTGTGGAGAAACACCCAGTCAGGTGATAAAGACAATGGAGAATGTGAAGGCAGCAGGGGTTGATGTTATGACATTTGGCCAATATATGCGGCCATCAAAGCGGCATATGCCTGTCTCAGAGTATATTACTCCAGAAGCATTTCAGGAATTTCAAGAGCTGGGAATGGAAATGGTATGCTTAAATAGTTCCTTTTCTTTTTCTTTATTAGTTAGAATTTTCCAAATATGACGAGTGTATCTCTTATATTGGTGGTATGTCTTGCTTGTTTGGTGGGGTCAAAGCATTCATGTTGTTTGTCTTGTTTGGTCAAACCAACGGATAACTTATATGAGGGGTTAAGCACTTGAAATTGTGACTTATCTTCTCAGTTTCTTCCATGAAAGCTAAAGAAGGCATTGTTGGAGATCTGTGTTTATACTCTTTTGCCCTTCGCAATCTTTAGTGGTTTTATATTTCAAATTTGATAATAGTGTAGATGGAGAATAGCTGTGCCACAATGGAAAGAGTCTTAGGCTACTTCTTATTTTGGCATATCAAACTACTTGTTGAGCCTCCATTTTGGGAAAAGAGGACAATCAATTATATATTTATTCATTGGAGTCCCATGTGAGAAAATCAGAGCACCACATTGCGTGTTTGATACCTACCCAGAAAGAAAACAATAGAAAAAGTCTACCAGGAAAAGATTTTTTTCAGTTGACTCCCTGGTGTGACAAAAGCTTAGGGATCTTTGCTACATCTGTCCTGTCTCAAATGTAGAATAAGAGTTGTAGCAAAAGTTTCAAATTTAAATAAAGATACTATTCTGAATTTCGGTCACATACAACCAGAAATTGGACAAAACTAAAAGATGGTGTTTAATAACGTTCTCGCAGTTTCCACAGGATTCTTTGCTATTCCCTTGAATTCTGGAATGTGGGGTAAATGTCTTAAAAATTGGTGCAGACAGTTTCCCCTATTTGATGACCTGATGCAGACAGTTTTACTGGTTGAATAACATCAAAAGCTGGAAACTATCTGTTTTAACCATCTGTCCTTTGAATGAGATATTTGGTTATAGCCCAACTATACAAATAGCTGGTTCAGACCATGAATTATTATTCTAAATTATTGGAAAAAGATCCATATAAGTTATGATCCACTTTTCATAAAAAATATGTTCAATAGTCAATCAAACCAACATATTCATTTTTCTATTCATTTTCACATATAGTCTCAATGTCTCATCACATGAAATCATCCCAGATATAGGATCTCATCCTCATGAAGTCATCCTGTCCTCATGAAGTCATCTGCACACTCATCCACATAGTAACTAACTAACTACATAGTAACTAAAGAAAGATACAAGCTAGTTCCTTGAAACAGAGATAAAGTCATCCACATAGTCATTCATGTAATAATGAAAGAAAGATACAAGTTTGTTCCTTGATACAAGGACTCATCCACATAAAGTGAAAGATAACTTAATTACCTGACACATGGATCTGTCCACAAACCCTTGAAGCAAAGATAAAAGTCAAATCAATTGCCTGATACCAGGAGTCACTCGTCCAATAGTTTTGAAAATCTAAATAAAGACAGACAAGAATGACCTAAAGCTGAGGGAGATGAGAGTATAAGGCGAAACGGCAATGCCATCCCTAAAAACACTGGCCATTTTATGGATAGGAGGCACAATTTTGATTATACTGGTAGTCCATTCGTGTAATCAGAACTATGTGAAATCACTAAACCTACTTGTATATATAAAGGCAATTGAACTTGCAATTATATAGGCATTATTGACCTACCTTTATGTGCTCCTCCCAAACTGCCCATTCTGTGGTCTTTATCCTACTTTCTCACTCCATCCGAAGCCAAGCTGGGTGAGGAGCATTTTGACCTCACTTCAATTGTTTTTTCAAAGTCTGCACCGTATTTCTGAGCCTTTCCTCTTCAAATCCAGCACCATACCGGCACACATTTGGGTTGTTCTCTCTTTCTAAACATTATGTTGGATCCTTGCATTGACTGTTGTACATTTACCGGCTTTTTCTGCCATGAGTTCCATTAGGTACTCATACTGAGGGGTAGGCCACTGGTTCATAATCACTATGATATTACTTTGTCCTGCAAGTACTCAATAATTGGCAATCAAAATATTTTCCTTTTATGAGTATGCCAAGGGTGCACAAAGGTAGTGCTTCCAAATTTCAAAGAATATGGTTTAAATCATGCTTTTATTTTGTAGCAATATCCAGAGATTCCGTATCACTGAAAATCGGCTATAATTTCATATTTAGAGTACACTAAGCAATTTGTTCATAAGAATCCGTCAAGATGAAGTGCATATGTATTTCTGGCATAAAATAATTAAGTCAATCATATTGATTAAAAAAACCAAACTCTTAAAGAAGTGTATCAATGAAAATTATTAAATAGAAACAGTGTAAGGCCGAGATCTGTATCTCAAACCCTAGGTTGCAGGCTCACATCTCATGAATATATGTCAAATCAGTGAACAATTAAGCAACTGTATACAATGACAATTACAAATTTTGGCAGACACCCTGATCATCATCATTATTTTAGCATTTTCCCAATTAATTGGGGTCGGCTACATGAATTAATTGGGGAAGGCAGACACCCTGACAAGCCCACAAAAAGAATGCGATATCGTGAAACAGCTCTTTCCTAATACCATTGCAAAAGATATCTCTTTCCTAATACAACACAAATATTCATTAGACTAATAGATACAAGAATTCCCAACTACATCAAGAAACAAGAATTCCCAATAACATGAAGATCAACAGACAATATGTAATTTGTATAGAGTTTCAACTATATGTCAAGAAACAAAATAAGAATGAGAATATTAAAACTGAAACAAGTAGTGGTTCAAAGCAAGAGGAATACCTGTTTTTTGAGTTTGAAGAAGCTCGACACCAGGGGAAATGATGGCACTGTAATTTTACCGTAAATATAACTGTCAGCAGATAGAGATTTACTATAAATATTACTGTTGAGATCAATGTGCAAAACTAAAATGTAAATTGTAAGCCCACAATTTCAGTAATATTTCATGTCCTCCATTCAAACCCTGATTTCAAGAAACATAAACCCCAAACCCACAAAAAAAAAACCTCAGTCGATGATATGTGGAAACATATCTTCAATGGGAACTTTGGTTGGAGAGCTCGACCTTGAAGACTGAGATGACAGGCTCGTAGTGGCAGAAAATGGTGACAAAATGCACAAAAAATGCACATTTAAAATCCCCAAAATTTAGAATTGGTTTTAGTGAGAGAGGAGGTGACAAGCTCCCAGTGAAGGAGACAGGAGAATAAGGTCTCTGTAGAGGAGAGAGATTGAAATGCCTGAGCTCGAGAGAAGAGGCTCAAGACGAGTAGAAAAGGAGACTTGAGAGGCTGTGGAGGTTTTTTAGAGAGAGAGTTGGACAATGTGTGGGACTCTAGGAGAGAGTGAGGGGAAGAGAGTGCGGGAGAGGGAGTGAAGGCTCTGGACAGGAAGAGAGATAGAAATGCGAGGGTTGGGAGGGTATACCCCCAAGAGGCTCATCCTGACTTTCGGGGAAATCTGCAGCCTGGGGGAAGCATGGACTGCGGCTTTTGCTTATAGAATAGAGACCTGGCTTCCCCCCTTCCCCCTTCCGACAACGAAACAGGCATGCTACCGCACCAGGAAAGTCGAGGATTTTCCCTGGTTCCAGCTTATCAAACCCCACTAAGCTTAACTTCAAGTTTTAATAGCCTGCACATTGATATTTGGTTGTGAAACCCTGACCCTTCGTTTTTCTACCTAGGTTTGAAACCAGATCTGGGAGCACCTTTGAGCCATTTTATCTTGTTTCTTATCTTTATGCAATTTAGCTATAGAAGTTCTTCCTTTGTGGTGAAAACAATTGTCACTTCCTTCTATGCTACTTGATTTTGGTTCAAATTTTGAAAGACAAGCTACAACGGTATATATATCGCCGTCACAAGAGCTATATGGTTTTCACTTGAGCGAAGTAATTAGTGCCAAAAGTCAATAGCCCTTTTCATCTTGTATAGAACTTTTAAACATGCTCTGCAGGTTCTAAGAATAGCTTTGTTAACATCTAAATGGACCACTGATTTTCTTTGTTGTGATGTTTGTTAGAAATAGTTCCAAGTCCAGGAAATGTCTTAAGCAGGTTGTTGGCAGACTTCAAAAAGCCACAACACCAAAACCTCATTAAGCATGCAGGCCGAATGATCTTGCGTTGTTCTGGAAAGTTTTGAACAGATTGTGGCATCTGTGGTACTATGTTGGCCATTCAGTGATGTCCAAACTCTGGAATTAGTGATGAGACCAGTGATTGGAATCTCAGACTCTGGCCTGGAACCCAGCAGGGACCTTGTCTGAGTCAGGTGGTCTGTATTGGTTGAGTCTCAACAAGCCTTGGCCAAGTCTGCCAAAAACTTATGCAATAATCTCAGGAACCGGTGATGCTCACCCAGTTCCCAAGGCTTTTTGACCCAGCACCCTGCTGGGTTCGAGTAACTCAGGTGAGTCTGACTCAGACTCACCATGTTTTGAAACATTGGATGTAGCAGTGTAAATGAAATCTTCTGTGTAGCTATGCTTGGCCCAAGTATTTCTGGTTTCAAACTATTTTGCATGAGCTATAGATGAATGCTGATGTGCCCTTTTTTTTGATAACAAATGTGCTGCAATATCTTGTTGGGCAAAAATATATTTGAATTTTCAATTGATTACACTATGCAAGTTTTTCTAATTTACATTATCATAAGTAGAAACCTTCATGAAGCAGGAAAACAATAAATACCAGATTCAATTTGCTTTCGGTTTCCTAGTAAAGTTCTTGAATGAATTAATGTACTTCCTGTATCTAAGTTCCATGTTATGCTCAAATCCTATGCCCATCTCTTTACCTCACTCTGAGCATTCCTTCACTCCCCTTCTAGAATTTCTTGCTTTGTCAAAAAGTTATCTCGAAGATAAAGGTTCTTTTCTTATGGAAGCATGTCAGAGGAGGCTTTCAAAAATATAAAGCATCAACAAAATATGATGTGTAAAACCTGTTATGAAAAGAGGGAGAAAGAAATCTTTCCTAAACTGTCCTTGTCAACTCTACCCACTATTGACTCCGTCTTTTGCGTGAGTTGGTGAATGACTTTAGGTCTTCGTTTCTTAACTTAAAACTCTGATATTTTTCATGTTGCTGTATGCCTATGGCTTTCCATGCCCATGATGCTTGGCTTTTGATTTGGTTGATTCACTGCCTTTGTGACCCAGCTTTAGATGTATTTAGAAAGCTTATACTTCATATGATATTTTTCATGGCATTAAATTGCTCAGTTATGCTCGTCATGATTGAGCAAGTTGACTCCCCTTAGACTCAAGTATATGGTTTTACCACATTTTTATATTGCACGTGCGTAAAATTGCTGAGTAATGCCCTTCATGGCAGAGCGACTGCACAAGTTGACTCCCTTAATCATTAGTCTATTGGATCAACATTTAGTTCACAGATTGCAAACAATGCTTAGGTCTTTAGTTAACCTACTGCTGCCACCTATACCAGCATTACGTGAACCCTGAAATAGGAACCATCAAGGGTGGCAGACATGCCATCCAAAATTTTTGATACAGTAATGTAATAAAATAAATATGGTATATGTAACAAAATAGTAGAAGTTTGTTAAAAGCACAACTGATTTATGGAGGAAACATATATGGTATTACTTTTTTTTTATGGCCCAAGAATAAGTCATCAAAAAGATCAGATATTGAATCTTGGACACTAGTCTATTTTTTAATAAGTACAAAGAAAACTTTTTCTGCCTCTAAACTGTGTTCTGAATCGCAAGGAATTGTGTTTTCTGCTTTGTACTCATAATCAAGTTTTAGGATTGCATTCTGAATCACGGGCAATTGTGTTTTCTGCTAAACTAAAAAATGTAAAGAGTGTAGGGATCCGTCTCTTGATAAGAGACTGCAGGGTTCTCTTAGGTTAGATTATGTATTCATGGCAGCCGAATTAAACTGATGTTTACTAGGTCTTCTGTCCCACAATCAGGACAAAGTTTATCAAGGTACTGAAACTTGGAAAGTATAACATACACAGGTCCTAACTACTGCTCCATACACGGCCAGACATTCATCATCTGTCCTTAATGGACTTGTAGATAAACAGTAACTTCATTGAATTACTGCTATTATCCATCAAATGGTTTAAGTTTTATATCCACAGTGGATGGAGCATGGTCTATCTGCATAGTGTGGCATACACAGCCTGTGTTCTATGCGCTTACCCTTTGAGGGCACATATTTTGCTTGGACACAAGCATTAGTACTTAAATTTGTGAAAAATGTACCATAGAGCAAAATCAATTTAATGTAGCAGAAACAGAATCTTCTGAATCTAGTCTTTTTGCTTATCATTTGATCGATGGTGTAACTGAAGGCAGAAAACTCAGTTAATTGTGGACTTGAACAAGGAAAATGCTCAGTTCCCAATCTTGGTCAATCTTGGCCTCCTACTTCCACGCTTTTAGAAAACTGAAAACTGGTTAAACCCAATATCAATTGGACAGATTAGTCGGGAATGTTCAAGGGAAGACTAGATTATTAGGTATCGGGTGAAAAATGCATTTGTCGACTGAAAACCCCTATATTCAGCTCGTCAATACAGTTTAAATTGTTGAACCAACCCTGTCTATGGATGCTATTTTCAAATCTCTTAAAAATCTTGTAAATCAGAGCCACTTTTGGGTACATCCCTCTGCATCATCTGGCAAGGGCTTTATATTGCATTTTATCCTTTGGCTATGATACCAATTAGACTGGGTCAAGTCACGAGTACCATACTTACTCGAGATCTGACAACTTAGGTGTCGATCTGGTTCCAAGATCTTGCTTTGGTACTCTACAATAGGGACCTCATGGGATCACGTTTTTTGTATCAGTCCCCGCTATTTTAGGGATCGGATCACTCCTAGCCACTCGAAGGGGCAACAAGAGGCCAAGAAAATGATTCATTTCATATTCCCTCTCTTTCTAATGCTTTGGAGATTGTGAAGTGTAAAATTGCAAATAAAGCAGTTTGATATACTTTTGGAAGTTGTCAAGTGTGAAATTTAAATAAAGCAGATTTTATCAATAAAAAACTGGAAATGTCTACAATGAGACCATTTACTTTTGATACAAGGATGTCACAATCATCGTTCACCATTAGATTTGAAATCGGGTGGTTGAAGATGTATCATTGTTTAGGCACAAAGTCCAAAATAAAATTTCTCAAATATTGTGGCACACTTTCATCTCTTGGATTTCACATCCAATTGCAAAAAGTGATTGTGACCTTGTATATAAATGGTCTCATAATATACAATATTCTTCAACATAAATTTTTTCTATTTTGTAGATTTTTATTACATAAACTACATCTCAAAAGAGTATAAAATATTGTTCATTAATTGAATAAAATTTAATCAATAGATAATTGATTTTTATTGCCTATTTTCCTCCTTTTGACTATATTTTATGGGATTACTAGATTTATTTTAAAAATAATAATATTTAAATTTTTTATTAATTAAATCATTATATGGAATGCGCTCCCAAGTCCCAACCTAAGGAGCTTCAAGGATGTGACGATCTTTCCCTCCCTCTTCCACTACCAACAGCTATGTGAAGTGCTGCTAGCTTATCAAATAGTCTTTGTGCAGATTAGATATCGCAGTACCTAGTTTATACCTTTATTATGTAATTGGCATGAAGCTTCAGAGTAGCAATTTTCCTTTGTTTTATTAAGTTCCTCTGAAACTTCCAATTCGGAGACTGATATTCAACATGTTGATTCCCTTACTCCAGCTCAAGCTTGTTTAGCTGCGCCTACCTTTCTTCTAGAAGTGTCTGATCTGATACATCATCTGTCTTCCGCCTCTTCTTGGTGGCATGATTGAAAATGACATTCTCGAAAACATCTTTGAACTCTGATTCTCACATGTATCAATTACTACATTCCCCCCTCCTCCTGAAGCCAAACTTTATCGGTTATGGAAGTGAAGATGGTTTTTTGGTTTCATAACCTTTTCTTTTTGTGTGCACCCATACAGTTTCAACTCAAGTTTGTTTTATGGTTACTTGTGCACAACGGCTTTGCAACTGGGCAGAGACTAAGACATTTCCGAATCACAATGTTTCTCTATTTCTGTATCCAATTATTTATGAACTTTCCATGTTCCTCTGGAGGATCATTCATTATGAAAAATTGGTTGACTGAATGACTCTTCAAAAGAAAAAAAACGAATGGTAGAATTGTTTCAATGTATAATTGATTAATGTCTTTCATTCATTATTTTGGCATCATGATGCTTCTCGTAAAAGAGGATAATAGAACAAAGATAAATCAAAGCTTCTGGAAAAAGAGGATAATAGAACAAAGATAAATCAAAACAAATAAATAATGTGGCAATGAGGACAACTTTTAATCATTATTTCCCATTTTGACAGGGTTTTCGTTATGTGGCATCCGGACCGATGGTGAGGTCCTCTTACAAGGCTGGAGAGCTGTACATCAAATCAATGATCGAATCCGACAGGGCCAAATACAGAACTGTATCTTCAAAAGACTGAGAACCCCATTCATCTCACTCTCATCCATGATTTTTAACTATGTATTGTTTGCAGCACGATTCGATGTTGGTTCATGGAATTATGTATGGGTGCGGTTTGTATGGAGCCGAGGCTCTAAACAATCAAATTAGAGCCCACCTTCAAATAGTGTTGAGAAATAATGTTTCAATATTGGAAATCTTTGTGATAGTCTTAAAATATATTTTCATCTTTAATTATAAAATTTAAAGCTTAAAAAATAGTGTAGATCTGCGAAAATCTTGAAAATGGATGGTCCAAAAATGCATTACAAGATGTACTATTTTTAAAACTTAAAATCCATTTTTTTCTCATGTCCATGCATCTTGATGTCGAGATGATCAATTTGAGGATATTTGGGCATCAAAACATCCTCTTCTAGTGAAAATTTTGAGTTGGGCTCTAATTTGATTGTTTAGAGCCTCAGCTCTATATGAACTTTTTCCATTATGTATTGGTTGCAGCAAGATTTGCTGTTGGTTCATCAAAGCTCAAAGGCGCTTGTATTCCTTGAAGAGGATTCTTGATAGTCTATCCTTTTTCCATTTCTCTTTTGTACTATTTCTTTTGCATTTGTAGCACGCATGTAATGCTGCTGCTATTGCTTGTCACCAAAGATTGAGAAAGTTGAATGTATAGCACTCAAAGATGCTTCATTTTCTCATCTTTCTAATGTATTTGCAGCATGTAAGCTGTCGTCGTTTTTTCACAATTATTAATGGAGAAAGTATAGTATATTCATATTTGACATATGCATGAAATATTTTCGTGAAAGTATTTTCATATGAAAGAGCTACCCCGTGTGATTAGGTGGGGGAATTTTTTCACACCAATTGGTCCAAGCACATTTTTCCATACCTATTGGTTGCCGATTGTTGTGTAAAAACTCACTCCTATCATATGGAGTATTTCCATGTGAAAATACTTTGAATGAAAATATTTTCATACTAACCGATTCAGCAAAACATTGTGATTGTATATGGTGATTGGTAATGGTGAACTTTCCTTTTCAGCAAAACATGGTGATTGTGTATTGTGATTGGATTTTTAGTTTTTCATTCGGCAAGGATCTGGTTGTGGGATTTATCCATACAAAAGGATCCGGTTGTGGGAAAAACATATTTTTGTTCAATTAGTGAACTGTATTTGTGGCCTTACAACTTTGAGATTCCACTAATCACAAGTTCCGAGTCTCAAATTTCAATCTAAAATTCACCTAAACTTTCAAAATAAAAGATGTGGTCGATATTTGCACTGAAATACAAATCTCGACTATGAGTAAGGTGCATTCTAAATCAACCGGCACTTCCAAGCTTTAATTTATTTTCACATCCAATCATGAAATTTAAAGATCCAAAAAGTGGAGTAGATCGAGCAGATTTAAACACTCCAAAATTTTAAAAATAAACCGTATAGATGTGTTACAAGATGCACTATCTATAGAACTTGAAATCCTTATCTGTTTAATACGAGGTCGGTATTATCAATTGTACTGTTTTCCAACGTTGGAGCAACCTTTTTGAGTAGTTATTTAGAGGTGCATTACTTTTAGGGAAATTGTTTCATGTGGGCTGGACTGCATTTCTACAATATATGGTCCAGAGGTATAAAGCATCCATCTTAAAGATGGATGTAAATATAGGCGGTCCATCTAAAAACAATGGTAACTAATGGTGCAAATTTTTCTTAATATAATTATTATTTTTATTTTTTAAAATTTATTTGTTTTTTCATATTCATGATCTCCATATTAAATATTATATATTCTCTAAAAATTATGATCAAATTATATTTATTGTCAAGCCCATATTTCTACAATATGCGAGCTGACTGCATAGAAACCGCGTCCTTACCTTGCATAAACTTCTTCCTTAATAATTAGGAGTGAGAGAGCCATGATTTAACATGGTGGGGTATGGAAATCATGGATTACATACGAAAGCTAGCAAATCCACCATGAAACTTTTTCTTGCACCATCCCCCACTATAAAACATAGGTTACCGATGTTCATGGTTGTTGATTGAAATCGACGATTAGGATAACTTTAGTCATAATGTTACAAGGTAGTCTTTAACTGTGTGATCTTGATTAGATGGCTAATAGTATTTTAATGTTTATTTTTAATTTATATTTCATTTTCACACGAAGAGAGAAGTTTGCCTACTTCTAATAGGCAACATCTAATAAAAATAATAAAAAGTGTTTTTGATAAAAAATTGACCAAAACATCCTGCAACTTTTCTAAGTATTTGAATTATTTTATTTTATTAAAAACGATATTGCTAAAGGTTGTTGTCAGGGGTGACCCCATAAAGAGTGGCACAACCTAAATTCTATGTGAAGATGATGTCACATAAAAATATTAAAAATAAAACAGTGCTATTGGTGGCAATATAACCGTCCATCCACATTGAAAGGTTCATAGGTTCATATATTTTAGATGTGGGTGGCACCACATGTAAAGGGTTCCCAAATCCGCTAGTTGTAAAATTGATCCACCATGCTTCCTAGAAAAGTTTTTATGTAGTGCAAGTCAAATGTGGTCCCTTTCTAAAAATCCTTTAGGCTTGGCAACGGGCCGGGCCTGGGCATGCCCAACCCTTGTCTCCACAGGGCCAACCCATGTCCGGCCCAGCCTAGATTGAGCTAAAGAGGCTCTAGCCTTGTCAGGGCAAAAAATAAATGAAAAAAATAAAAGAAAACTAAGAAAAAAGAGGGCCGGGCAAAGCCAAACCTGGCCAGCCCTATCGTGGCTTTGGCCCAACTTTCGTTGTTCACACATCGGCCACTTTTTGTGGCCTAGACCCTACTTTTTTTTAGGGGCGGGCAAGGCCAAACCTAGCTGGCCCTATCTTGGCCATGGCATTGGCCAGCCCTTTGGCCACTTTTTGTGACCTGGACCTTAATTTTTTTAGGGCTGGGCCTAGCCACTTGTCCCATTTGCTAAACCCTTGGGCCACTTTTGTGGATTTGGGATCTTAGGCACATCCTAAATTACTCTATGTTCATTTTTTCAGCTTCATAATTTTTTAATTAAAAAAGTAGTGCAAAATTGTTGATCGATAGATAATTAAAATAAAGGATTGTATACAATGAAGCCATTTACCTTTGATATAGAGAGGTCACAATTATTTACAACCATCCAATGTGAAATCTCATAGCTTGGGTATGTCACTACGTTCGAGAAAATTTCTTTTGAATTTTGAGCTTAGTCAATAAAATAAATGCAGCCACTCGATTTCACATCTAATGGTCAAGACAAATTGTGACCCCCTTGTACCAAAGATAAATTGTCTCATCATATACTTTCCCTTAAAATATAAGTAAAAATTTTATATTAGGTTGTAGTCTTAAATTATAGTAGGGCGCACCTTAAAAATCTATTAGAAAAGTGTTTCGAAGTTGAAAAACCTTTCAATTGATTATCTCGACCTCAATATGGTGGTATAAAGAAAATAAAAATAAAAATTCAAGTCCTAAAAAATAGTTGATATTGTAACCCGTTATTTAGACAGTCTATTTTCAAGATTTTGATGTGTTTATAGATACACTCCATTTACATCATTTAAAATTTCAAATTTTCACAATTAGGTTAGAACATAAATTTTTAGCCAGCCGTAAAATCTCCACATTGGAACTGCATCTTCTAGGAAAATTCAGAGGTGTGCCATACTTGTATAGTGTAGGGTCGGCACCATAAACCTTAAATAACCAGTAAATGGTACAAAAACAGCATTTAAAATAGACAGTAAATGGTACGAAAACAGCATTTAAAATAGAAAATTCATAAGGTTTACAATCTTTCTTTTCTTCTTCCTTTTCTTTCTCCTTTTTTTTTCTTTTTTTTTTTCTTGTCAGATTCAAAATAATTGATGGTCGAGTTCATGACGTGGAAAATCCATATCTGATATATAAAGGAGACAACATTTGAATAAATGGGATCGAGGCACTACACCCTGTCCTTGGTTTTATGGGGTAAGATTTTATCATTGTTTACATGCACAATTGCCCTTGCACGAGAGAAAAATTACAGCTGTTTTTTTTCGCTTTCTTCTTTCCTCTTCTTCTTTCATGATGTGGTGTTCCTCGATGGCTAGACTTATCAGAAACCACTAGTTTTTAAACTTCCCTTTTGAAATTTAGATAACGTTGACACTGATAGGATTATTTTTCAAAGGAATTGGGGAGAAAAAAAGGAACGATTTTTAAAGAGATTGCCAAGTCACTATTATTGTGTATTTTGCCATTTATTATCCCCCTTTTTTTTTCTTATTGTAGTTTTATTAGGTATTCTTGAAATCTTCATGATGGCTCAAAAATCAATTTCCAACATCGACAATGAAATTTGAAACTCAAAAAATAGTACAGATCTTGTGGATCTTTGTTACAATATAATTTTTTTTTAGAGTTTGAAATCTTATTTTTTTTTTCACAATTATAATGTTCAGGCCCATATGATTGATGTAAAGGTTTTCTAATGCTTGAATTGCAACTTTTGATGAGCATACTTTCCACTCATACGTGGTCAATTTCCCATATTTTTCTCCAGGCCAACATGGTAAGAAATTTTTTCAGTTGTGGAGCTACGATTTTGCGCTCTAGACGGCCAAATTTTATTTCCTTGTTTCTACTTCATAATTTGACGCAACTGCCCTATTATAGGATTGTGAAAAAATGAACTACTTCTTTCTTATTTTTATTAATGAAAAATGGGTAGGGCCTTCTCCCCTACTGACTTACTCAAAATCGCTAGGGGAGATATTTTATATGAAATATGATTTTGAACGTGATCAGAAACTGCATGGTAAATATAAAAATCTAAAAGTTTTGAAGAAGGTTGAGAAATACGATAAGACCTACACAAGGGAGGATCAGGTGGGGCCGTGACCACGATGGAGTCTTCTTCTTTTAACCAGTTTAGTGAGTTTTAGAGGTATATTTAGTTTCGGCTTATCAACATGACTTGTTCGTGGTGTGTTGGACACATCATTGGTGCTAATATTAGGCAAAGGCAAACGACATCTTGAACACTCCCCCTGGTCCTATTTTCCAAATCATTCTCCAATGTGCTACGAAAATATGATTATGTTTCAACAAATTGAATATCTCTAGAAATATGTATTTTTCTAGTTGTGGGATCATAATATTTGTA